TCAAACTATTGAATCTACATTTGGAATCTTTTGATTTCAACTAATTTATCTCAAAGACCAAAAATAATGTTACTCATCACTGACTCAACCTCATCGTCAAAAGCTTTATTTGCCGTAATAATTAAACTATTACTAATTATGAACATCCACACCCACCAGTTAAGTTACACATCACTCTGATTGATGTTGATGTTGCCAAAACTGTAGTTTTTTACAGGGGGAGCCCAGAGCCCTGCTGAAGGTGAGAGTAGAGACAAATGAGGACAATCATGGCTCAAGAGTTGGGACTTTGTCTTGTAATTGGAAGGTTGCCAGTTCGAGCCCCGGTTTGGACAGTCTCAGTCATTGTGTCCTTGGGCAAGACACTTCACCCGTTGCCTACTGGTGGTGCCACTGTCCGGCAGCCTCGCCCAGGGCAGCTGTGGCTACAATGTAGCTTTCCATCACCAGTGTGTGAATGGGTGGATGACTGGATGTGTGAAGCGCTTTGGGGTCCTTAGGGACTAGTAAAAGCACTATACAAATACAGACCATTTACCATCTGTTAGTTCAGCTTAGAATAAACACTGGAATGGATCTAAGGTTTCTTCACCTCTCTCCAAAACTTATAAATAAACAGTCTTAAAGAAAAGGTTTAGCCAGAATGCAATGAAAATTTCAATTATAATTTGATTTTTGTAGATGAAAGCATTTGAAGGCATATAATCTCTCTCTGGTCATCTTTAAACTAAAGTGCAGCATTGCTGAGTCCACAGAGAGGTCTTATATACAGCTGGCCTAATCAACTCCAGGTGAGGATCCTGGGTATAATGAAGATGACTCTGCCCAGAGGAGGAGGACACCATAGCACTGTGAAAAAAAAAATATAAACAGAGTTCAGGCTCCAGATGGCGGAGATTACTACTGTATGGGAGTGTATTCTGACCCAGCATGCACACACTGATGTCAAGTCATGGAAGCTAAAGCATATCTTTTCTTCTTTTCAGTTATTAAGAATACTTAAAATGAAGTGGTTCTATTTAGGGTCTGTATCATTTGATATTGTGATGGCAGATTTCTTTTCTCCTGTATTAATCAAAATATTTTACATCATGTCACTTTAGTATAGCAAGATCACTCCTGTCACCAGTATGCATGCATGTGGAATGTTATCATATGTGAGCCCCAGGTTTTATTGCACCTTCACAGAGGGTTTATTGTAGACTTGAAGATCTCCAGACATCCTGGTCTTAAGGAGGTGACGGCTAAGCAGAAAACAAGGTCATAATTCTCCATGTGAGGGAGGGGGTTTAAGGATGGGGCTGATGGTATAGCCCCCCCTGTGAGATGAGTTAACATGTAAGAGTTTGTCTGTCTCTGTGTATAAAGGTGCAAGGACGACGGCCAGGATTCAGAGATGATCCTAGTGTTCTGGCTGCGATGCTTCTTTCCACATTGCAATGTGTTTATTGAACCATTTCAAATGCTCACTGGGTGTGTTGCAGGTTATTGTTAAAATTTCCATAACAATATTTGCCTCATAACATCACTGTACTTAATGAGGTAATATAGAAATATAATTATTTTGTAGAGTATATTGAATTAATCACATTGTTATAATGACAAATAAAACATTTGGAATAATTGGGTAGAAGTTGCTGATTTACATATTTGATTATGAACACACTAACTAAGATACATTCTACACTCACATTTTGAGCTTTTATTTTCTAGATCTCTTCATGGTTTTTATTTCAAGTGAAACATTTATTTACTGAATCAAACTCAAGTTATTTATTTTTCCGCAAGAGTAAAATTTGGAGATATCGTCTTCCTGCTAAAATATATAAATAGATAACCACAAGTTTCTTTCAGCTTTTCCATTAATTTCAAAAGATGAACACATATTTGATTTGTCCCAGATGTTCAGGCCAGATGCAGCCCTGCCATTATCATCTCATCCCAGAGTTGATTTTTCATGTGTTAGGCAAACAGGTGAATTTATAGTACACAACACTGAAATTATAGAACAACTATATTTAAAAATAAGACAAAATGCTTAATAATATGGATCACTGCAAGCTTTAATGGCAAAAGTATGAATCATTAATATGGCAGTTATTAGGCACACTCACATCCAGCTGCTACACATGTCACTGTGTAAGTTACTGTTATCAAATAACTTCATCTACAAACTTTCAAACTCATATTGATCAGAACAGCAGGGATGTATCTCCTGCTCCCCCACACTAAGCTCCTGTCCTGAACTTCAGCAGCCCCTCTAGCCCTCACACCGGTTCTTGCGGAAGGACTTGGACTGCCAGTAGTCATGATGGTTCACCCTGCAGGAGAACACCTCTGCGTTCATCCAGTTCTCTTGGCTCAGCATCAGGGTGCTGCTGCTGCTGTAGCGACTACTCTTCTCTTCTTCTAAGCTGTTCAGGACCCCCTCTGTCACCTCTGTGCCATCTACTTCCCATCTCACTTCAGCTCCCTGAGGAGAGTAGCCGATCAGCAGGCAGGCCAGTGTGACTGGGCCTCCAGAGAGCTTCTCAGAGGAGGGTTGGAGCAGAGAGACTGAGGGTCTGACCATGGGTCCAGCTGAAGGGAAGATCACAGACACACAAGGAGTAGATTAACTTCTACTGTAGGACAGAGAGCTGACACGAGACAGTGATGATCCATGACAGAGATTAACAGGCCTGTGGATTAACTGTATGATGATATTGTGATATAACAGAGGAGAGAAACTGAGAAATTGGAGGATAAAGGGTTTTAAAAAAGTATATCTAATTAGTGAACGTACCGCTGTATTTGTTTTCTTGATGATAAAAATTAAGTGTGTTCAGGAAATGTTAAAGTTTGTCATCTGTTTGTTTCACTTCCTTTTCATCACATCAGACTAACGAACCGTAAACTCAACCGTTAAAGTGCATCTGTATGAAAACTAATTCATTTAGTCAACAGCATAACATGTTATATCCAACATGGTGCCAAACATTTCAGTGGAAGTCAACATATAATATTTTCAGTAACAGCTTTACACAGTTATGATACATGACAGAGATTAACAGCACTGTGGATTAACTGTGCGCATGATACTGTGATCAGAGGAGAGGAGGTAATAAATAGGAGAACCTAACACTTTAATAAAATTGTCTTTTTACACTCAATTAGAATCTTTGTAAAAGTTACAATAATTTAGAATAAATGTCTTGTTGTTACAGTTATATTCTTGATGGAAAACAAACAGAGCTTGACTTTGTCATCTGTTTGTTTCACTTCCTTTTTACTACATCAGACTAATAAACTATAAACTCAGAGATGAAACCATTAATCTGCAAATAATCAAATGATCTTTAATACATGAACGATATTATTCTGCTAACTGTTTGTATAAATAAATAAAATCAAAGATTCCTTTTGCTATATTTTCAGTCTCAGATTTTCTGAAAAAAATATTTATTCACAGATAAATACAAAAAAAAACTTTACTTAAAGCAGATTAACTCAAAACATTTCAATTTTCAGTACTATATAAACACGATATATAAACATGATATACTGTATACTGATATGATAATACTGTATTATATATTTAAACTCTTCTGATACCAAGTTTTCAGTATCAGCCACTATGACCAAACCCAATCACATCATGTAAAACACCCAGAATAAAATTTTGTTTAAAAACATTCTGATGACATATTACACTTATAATATAAGTAATATGTAATAGTATAATATTTTGTAGTAATAAGGGGATTTAGATACTTACAGTGAATGATGAGTTTGGTTCCTCCACCAAAAGTCCACCACAGTGATACAAACTCACTAAGTGGCCGTACAAAAACCTCCTGCACTCTGATCAAGCATCTAACCACTGAAAATGATCTTTTTTCTCCCCAGTAAACTTCACAGTTTAGAAAATATTTGGCATAAAAGTGTTTGTGTTCAAATTGCTTTAAAAAAAATAATTTATGATCATTTTCTTAATTTTTATTGATCTAAAAAGTAAAATATACACTTACCAACCAATCTGCCATTTTAATCTAGATGTTAAAAGTTTTGATGTATTTTCCAGTATTTTGTTAGGATCAAAATCATCTCATAATAATTCATTTAGATATCAAAAAGTATTGCTTCTCACATTGCTTTGTTGTTTGTTGAGAGCAGAGAAATCATTTACATAGAGAGGAGGCTTTGCAACGTCAGCTGATCCTCCAGAGAACTGAGAAGGTTTATAGCAGAAACCACAACCAACTTGACTCTTCATCCTCATAAGTGCTGGATTGCTGTATTAATGGTCAGGATTACTACTGGACACCTATCCTATCACAACTTATTATTGTTCATACTGTTGAATGCACAAGGCATTCAGATTCATATCTGAATATGAATATATATATATATATATTTTATATTTGTGGAACTAATCCAGAAAGATTTCAGTTGACATAATTTGATTTCATCCAGAGAATATCTATTTCAAAACCATGCAAATTACCATGATGGCACTTCGGTCCATTACACTGGAAACAGACATGTCATCCAGAGTGTAAAACAAACTAATTATTGACGGGTATACAAAACAGACTTCAAATAGAAGAACCAATTTAATTCCACACATACTGTTAAGTGATTCAGAGCTGTGCTTACCAGTGGACGAATGGGATTCCAATTGAAGACGAGTCCAGAGACTCCCCAATTCATACGTGCACACACACACAC